TTTTCAGAATCACCGAGACTTGTGAAATCTTTCCTGAATGAAGTCAAGAATCCACTACCTGTGGCCCAAAGCAGATCTGCTCCATCCTGTTCCAGTCCAGTAACATCCCCAGTCCCTTCTCCTTCTCCCTACCCTTGTCACTTTTTAATAATCCCCTTTGTCCCAGGATCTACTTCTGATGAATCAACCAAGTTATAGCTTGCTACAAACCATTGCAGCTGCTTTTTACTGTATGATCACTATTGTCAAATGCCCTATAAATTAAGCTTCACTTAATTTGCACAACAGCCCCATCATTTTTACTGGTAAGGGGACGTGGCTGAGAGCAGGTCTGCCTAGGGCCAGCTGGTAGTATGTGGGTTCTTGACTTTGTACAGAAAAAAATTCACATGAGCCCAGGTAAATTTTAGAGGACATTTATAAAAGGTGAGGACAGTGAAACAAAAAAGGGAATAGGAAAACAGGAGAACTAGGTGGGGGAAATGAGCCCACTAAAGAGTCAGAGAAAAAGGAACCTTGGGAACAGGTTCAGGGGTTTGCCTGGTATGAACTGCTGCTGCCCTGGTTGCAAACCTCATGGGGTCCCTTAGCGCTTAGGAGATGCTTACCCGTGGGGGAAAATGGGGTGGGGGGCGTGGGAAAGACCTTGGGTGGGCCCTTTGTTTTGAGGGGTTCTATTTAAAAAAATATATATTTGTAGGGTTTTATTTTATTTTCTAAAATATATTTGTATTGATTTCAGAGACGAAGGGAGAGAAAGGCAGAAACATCAATGAGGAGAATCACTGATCGGCTGCCTCCTCCATGCCTCCTATTAGGCATGTGCTCTAGACCAGAACTGAACCTGGACCCTTCAGTCCGCAGGCCACTTTGAGGGGTTTAAAGGCTAGGCATTTAGAGAAGCATCAATAGAATATTTATCTGCTTTATGCTAAAGTACCAAAATGAGATTTACTCTCTTAACTTCATCTGTCCTTGGGTGTGGTTGGCAAATGGTACTAATTGGACTTCTGCTGTCTTCCTTAGTGATTTAAGCTATTTACCTTCTGGTTAGGAAGGAATGCCCTAGTTTGAGGGAAGATAGGATTTATCAGATGGCTGCAAACTACTGTTTGTCTCAATTTCCTTATTCTGGATTACCTGCCTTGTCTCATTATCTTCTCCATTTGGAGAAGAGAGAAACAGGCTATGGGGAAGTACAGGCAAGCAAGGTTATGAAGGGGACAAAGGACAAAATTGGGGTTTGAACTCAGGTTGTCCTATGTCAATGTCAATGTCTCTGGCTGTAACCACTATATTTTCCTATCTCTTTATTCATCTGTGTACCACTGACACAAAATATAGTTTCTGGGCCTTCATGTATCCTTAATATGTTGTTAGTCATAGTTTTCTGGAGAAACAGAACCAACAGAATATAACAATGGAGATTCATCATAGGAATTGGCTCTTGAGACCATGGAGCCATGGTCTGACACCTGCAAGTTGGACACCCAGGAAACCCAGTGTAATAGTCTTGAGTCTGTACCAGGGGAGCAATGGTGTAGGGCCCAGTCCGAGAGGAAAGACCAAGAGTGCCAAAGTCTAGGGGTAGGTCAAGATAGGAGTCAATTCCCCCTTCCTCCACCATCCTGTTCTATTCAACCCTCACAGATTGGAAGACACCCACCTACATTGGTGAGGAGGGATCTCCTTTATTCAGCCTACCAATTCAAATACTCATCTATTCCAGAAACACCCTCACAAACACGCAGAAGATACATAAATAAACGCACATCTCCAGACCATGTTAGACAATACTGAATGAGAGAATCTATGGTCACATATTAATGTCCCTGAACTGCTGAGTACTTAAAAAAAAATCTTATTAGACAGTTCACTTTTCTGGCAAATCTGCTTCCAATCCAAGAGGCCTGGGAATAGTAGTGTGTACTAAGTCCTCATTTAAAGTCGTTCTTGGAAGATTCTTGGAACTGCAGTGACAAGATATAGAACAGAACCAATGTGACCATAGAGCTAATGACATAAACAGGAGTTGTTGCTCCAACATCAACTTCTCATCTGAAACCATGTTGATTGTTGAACAAAATGACATTACTCGAGAACCTGCTACATCTCACTGTGTCAATATCAAAGGCTCCAATTAACTCTGCCTTAACTTAATAGATTCAATCCATCGAGGATTACTTTAACAAGTTCAACTTGTTTTTTTAGTTTTGCAAAACTGAAATGATTCTAGAGTAGGTAGTGGTACAGAAAAAGATTACAGCCATTCAAGGCCTACTCAATCTAAAAAGTCTGCAAAACCACGAGCCTTAGGTGTAAGGTAATGATATTGAAGCATTAACAAAAGAATGGAGAAAGAAGGTTCAAGGGTAAAACCTACAGCCTACATCATAATTTGCTTTCATGGACAAAAATTTAGCTGAGCTACCAGCCACATGTAAAATATAACTTCAAACTTCTGTAACAAGAAGGTGACAAGCATAATAAAGCTTTCCTCTGCCAAGAAAGAAAGATGATAATATAGTGACTAAGAACACAGCCCTAAGAGCTGGACAGATCTGTGTTTAAATACTTGCTCTGCCACGTACAATTTTTGTGACCCTAAAAACGTTACTTAACTTCTGTAGGTCTGTTTGTTTTTTTTCAAATGGTATAACCAAATATCAGAGAATTAAATGAGATTATACCAGTTAATACTTAAAAGCAGTTGTCATTATTACCTTAAACCAGATCAGATACTGGGAAAAATCACTTTAAAAAGTATAAGTTCACACCAGAGTATAATCTTTTAAAAAGTACGAACTATTATTATTCCTGAAAATCAGATGTGTTTGTCATACATCTGTTCTGGTACACATTATAATGTGCATTCAAACTTACACATATACATATAGTAGTATTTTAATACATGTGTGTGAATCATTCATGTCAGAGTAAGCATATCCTTAATTTTACAAAGCTGTGGCACTTAAAGTGCTTATGCAATAGAACATCTGCAAATACCCAAAATAAAATTACATGACTTACAATTATATAGAAACATAAAAGTATGGTATAGATTTTGCATATTTATTTAAAAAATAGGTGAGTCACTCCTCTTTCAAGAAGACTTTCATACTAAGAGACTAGTGAAAAAGCTATTATGTTGCTGCTTATCCTGTTACTTTAAGATTTCAGACAAGAATCCTAGCTATGACCACCAGAATTCCTAGAACAGCAATAGAACCAATAGTTTTCAGGGTTACTTCTGAGAGTGTGCCGAGAGACTCTAAGATATGAATTTGGATGGAGGGGAAGATGATGCCTGAGGGACATGATGGAAGTTGAGCAACTGCAACCAGAGGTGTGACATCCCTTCCCCTCACCTGCAACCCTTAATTTTATAAACAGGAGTTCACATAATGTTTATTTGAAAGGGAGAATGATGTCTCACTGCTTAATAAGAAAAGACTAGGAATATCTCTAACATCCCAATCTAGCTTTAGGGAATATGAGATGGAGAGCATTTCCCAATTTACTACTTTTAAAACAGGCATTCCAGGAAAGCAGGGACATGATTCCAACACTTTGCTGTCTACATAAGAACTCCATAGAGCTGCTTGCTGTCAATACAGGTGGGAAACCTGACTTATAAGAAATGTGAAAAAAGGAAGCCAATTCACAGCAGGCCTAAGAGGACAGCCAGATATGCCCTCTGGAATCGTTCCAGAGGCATGTGGCTCGCTAGCCTTTGCATAAAAATGGCGCAAGACAGACGTAGCTTATTTTCACCCCCTTAAATTTTTTCCCCACGATCAAAGCAGCGGAAATAACTTTCTCATAGTAATGAGGAATGTGCTTTTCTTACCATTCTTGAAACATAAAATAATACATTTAAATTACCAAGTTTTTCTAACTCATCTCCTAAAGTCAAGGTTTAACCAAAGCATTCTCTGTAGTAAAAAAATTATTCTTACAGCAGGTTTTGACATTTAATGGCCAATCCCCATATTTTCTGCAGAAAAGTTTTGTTTTTATTTTTCTTGATTTTAAGTCTAATGATCTTGAACCAGGATTCTGAGCACACCTTACATTAAGGACACTCCAAGTCTCTATTCACCTTTCACAAGAATAAGAATTGTAATTAATGTCTGAAGAACTTGTCGATTAATAAGAATTGTAAACTGGTACTTCCAATTTAAAAGTTTAATTCATTTTTGCCATATTTCCACTAGAGATAAGTTTCTTCAGATACACCAGGTTTCAAAAGATGCCACTTGTGCAGGTTTCTCAATTGTTGCCAGCTTTAGCCAGAAAAGGAAAAGCTTTACAGATTTTCAAGAGAAGCACGTTTCTGCCAGCTCTTAAATGCAGTATAAAGAGTTCAGAAGAAGACAGAAATGGCAGAAGGGCAAAAACCAGTAATTATTTGTCTAAGCAAAAATAACTGCTCTGTGAGAAGGAACAAAAGACTGCCCTAAACCAAAATTTTGGGAAAAGTAACAGGACCAAAACCAAACTTTCTTTTAGATCCTCATTCAGATAAACTTCAAACCAGACATATGCTACTTCAACTAACCATTACCATCACAATTTCCATCTACACTACATATCCTGGTGTGGGTGTAACTGTGGAGCCCATTTGGGACCCTTGGGCAGTAGCTGACATACAAGCACAGAACATCACTATGAAGTTATGAAGCACATTCATTTGAGCCCTCATTAACCAAACAGCTCATAGGAGCATTATAAAAGCCAGTGTTTCAAGCACAGCCTGGGAACTAGCTCTTGATGTATTCTGGTGGTTCATTTCATTATTGCACGTGGTATTGCCTTAATTTCCCTACCTGTGAAACAAGGACAGTCCTAAAAGAATTGAGAATGGTTTATAAAGTACTTGAAAAATAAAATAGGCAAGCCATCAATATTATTTTACTAGGGGCCCAGTGCACAGATTCATGCACACTGTAAGGCAATTAGAATATTTTAATCTTAATAAATATTTAATAAATAAGTACTTGTCGATGACTGTTCTTCAGACATTTTCTGTCGACGTCGGCTTCTTTCAGCTTCAGCGATACGCTGTGCCAATCGTTGTTCTTCAGACATATTCTGTCTATGACGTCGCTGTCTTTCAGCATCAGAGATCCGCCGCGCCAATTGTTGTTCTTCAGACATATTCTGTCATTCTGTCGACGCCACCAGCTCCTTTCAGGTTCAGAGGTATGCTGTGGCAATAGTTGGTCTTCAGACATATTCTGTCGACGATGGCGCTTTCTTTGGGCTTCAGAATGTCAACAAAAACAACCAAACTTACGATTGACAATGACAGATCAAAACACGTGCGACTGGCACCAGTGAGAGCTTTCTATGTATCGTGCATGTGTGAGTCAACTTAGCCTTTTACATCTCTCTCTCTCTCTCTCTCTATATATATATATATAAATAAACGTGCTTAATTAGACTTGCTTTCTGGTTCAGCTAAACTTTTTCAAGCCCAGTGAAGCACCCCAACTTCTCTTTCACATAATTGTCAGCAACACAGCAGTAAATATCAACACAAAGCAGATTATCATTGTAGATCACGCAGGGAGAACAAAAGGTAAAATATTTAACTGTAGCAGTGTTTGACTATATTTTGCGCAGTGAGAAAAACTGAAGACATTTTCAAGGTCCACTATTTCTTACTTCTTTTGAGTAGGAGTTTCTAAACTTTCTAACTCCCTATTTTCCGGCTAATGAAAACAGGATTCTACAGAATCTCCTATCTGCCTACTCCAAGACTTCTGGGAGGATCAAGTGAGATGAGTAATGGGAAAACACTTCGCAAACATTTGGTTAAACAGTAAAATGTTTGCACCTGGCTATAAAGCAAGTTGGTTCCTGGGCTGAAGAAACTCCAAGAAGGCTAGTCGCTAGGGAGAGGAAGCTGGGTGTTGCTACATGATGTCATTACCCGGTGCCCACAGTGACCATTTCCGGTCTGGTCTGGGGGCCACATTTTGCGTCATGGGGTCTTGATAGTGTTGGCTGTGATTTGATGGGGTGTCGCTCCAGGGTGGTGGCGGAGCCTGCGTCTCACTTGGGGGAAGCCAAGTGTTGATTTGTTGGCTCCAGTTCCATGCTGCTGTTTATTTTTAAATGGCCAGTGGGCGTCCTGGTAGCTCCTGCATTGAGCATCTGCCCCCTGGTGATCAGTGCGCGTCAAGCTACTAACTGGAGGGAAAGATGGACACTTAGCCTCTCTATATATATATATATAAATAATACGAAAAAGGCCAGCAAGGGAGCCTTTACACTCATCCTTATTATCGAAATCAACTAAGTCATGATAAATGCCACATAAACACCAACAACCCAAAGTTGAACAACTCAATATACAGGTCTATCTATCCCTACTGAAGAGGAATTAAGATGTGAAGAAATTTATTTTCAATTCTATGGGCAGGTCAAACAGCAATGATCCTCTTATAGATGATGTGTATGTTTTTGAGTTAAACCTTAAATTGTAGTATATGTTCAGGAAAGATTCCCTTAGAAAAGTCTTAACAAAAATCTTTTATGCTCTCCTTTATTCTGAAACATTTAAGATGAAATTCTTAAGATTTTAGAATTCTTTAGCTACTCTCTTGGAACTATGCTAGAGATCAATAAAAACAAGGAAGCTTGTGAGTGCATCTTAAGGAACTAAAGGTACAGGACAGTGAATACATAAATGGATATGAGGGAACCCAGAACGGAAGTGGTGCATGCCTGGCTGAGGGAGACCCCACCCTGAGTATATGAATTTCGTTCACTGGGCCTTTAGAGTGTGGTGTGGTGTGGTGTGGTGTGGTGTGGTGTGTGTGTATAATATATTTGAGAAGCCTGTGTGTGTGTGTGTGTGTGTGTATAATATATTTGAGAAGCCTGATAACATGTGAAAGGAGTCTTCTCCTCCCAATGAAGCAGAATATGGATTCTCATTTAAGCTGATCCCTAACCTGACAGAAATCGAAGGTAGGTCATGACCAAAACACAGGAATAAGAAGCACTAGAGTAAAGAAATATAATTATGTCCTTCCTATCACTTTTTAACAAGGTAAAAAAATAAAAGACAAATAAAAAACCATGAAGTCATGATGGAACCGTGGCCATTATAGTGGGCAAAACATAGATGGCTTCTCTTATAAAGTGTCTCAAAAATCAACGGAGCTTTCTTTGCCGAAACCGGTTTGGCTCAGTGGTAGAGCATCGGTCTGCGAACTGAAAGGTCCCAGGTTCGATTCCGGTCAAGGGCATGTACATTGGTTGTGGGCACATCCCGGGTGGGGGGTGTGTGCAAGAGACAGCTGGTCGATGTTTCTCTCTCATCGACATTTCTAGCTCTCTATCCCTCTCTCCTCCTCTCTGTAAAAAATCAATAAAAATATATTTTTGCCAAAATAAATAAATAAATAAATAAATAAAGTGTCTCAAAAATCAAGGTGGAAAGTGCCAACATATAAACAAGAAACAGCCTTTACATTCAAAATATTAATTCAGTTAGTGTGGAATTTTGGTTCATAACAGATTCAAATGCCAAGTTTCCAAACTAACAATATAATATGTATAACTAATAAGTGATGCACATCAGTAAAACATGGCATTTGCTCCAGATTTAATATCATGAGCTCTTACAAAATGAAAAAAGGGAAACTATGAAAGTTTATGTGATGCTAATAACACATCAAACTGTTAATCAAACTATAATTAAAGTATTTATAAAAGGAATGGCATTTTTCTTAATCTTCATGCCATTTTAGATAAGTAAATGAAAGTTAAACTTTCATGGAAAGTATTTTACCTTCTGGAAGACCTAACAGGGTTAAGACATTCATTTAAGGTGAAACTCCTTTCACCTTAAGTCGAGGTTGAATAAGTAGCTTATTACACAACAGTATTGGGCAACTTGATGTAAATATAAAATTAATTTCTAATCTTATAAAATAAAAAATGTTTTTGTACAATAAGTGGGCTAGATGTTTATTACACAACAGTATTGGGCAACTTGATGTAAATATAAAATTAATTTCTAAATCTTATAAAAGTTTTTGTACTTTCACATCGTTTTTAAAAAGTTTATTTCACTAAGATTTAAACAGGTTATTTAAAAAACTCTACAATGTTTAATTCTGATAACTTTCTCTGCACTTCATTTCCAAGTCTAAAACAGCAGGCTGTTTTTTGTGTGTACACACACACACACACACACACACACACACGTATTAATGGAATTAATCTGCCAAGGTCTATTACAATTTATACAATTCTGATACTTATATATTTCTCAAAAGAAAAAAATACACTTAAATTCTGAAGGTTTTCTTTTATCTTTTCTCTATTATTCCCACTTTTTATAACAGCTCTATTTTCCTTATTAAATTGTAATTCTCAATTAAATGTGTAGTCGGAATGTGTACATCTTAAATATCAACCAACAGATTGCTGAATATTTAAAATATACGATTTTTAATAGATATTCTTCAAAATTTGTAAGTAGTTACAGGAAAGCAAAAACATGGTATGCCTTAATCATGCTTTTAAAAATCAAATATAAATGACAAATAAAGGTATGTTATAATGAAAATCAAAAGCCATTTTATACTCGATAAAACCCTATTTATTGGTTGGTGACTTGGGAGCAAGCAAGTACACATTCATGGAGAGGCCTATTCTAATGAGAGAATCTTTAAAGTTTTTAGGAGCTTAGCAACTTTTGAGATTGGGTCATCAAAATAAGAGTAACTGAGAACTTACTTGACAATCTGTTCAATATGGTGATGTTTATTTTAATATAGTTTTGGAACTTCTCCTGCACTTTGGCTTAAGGGGAAAAAGAGAAACTTAAGCAAAACAAATTAACAGTGGTATGTTTAAAACCAATGACTTCCAGATAGGTAAGGTGAGGAGGGAGGGGTCTTTATATTCACAGCCCAATCATCTATTATTTTCCATAGACTGTAAGAACTTAAATAAAAAATTTAGTTTGTATAATGTACAGCATCCTCTGGTAAGGTAGTCTCAGAAAATTTTCAACAAGGGCCAACATAAAGAAGCAATTTCTACTTAATGTTCAATTAAATAGGATAGGATATCCATACCCACCCTCTGATTGAGGCTTTTTACTATACTTTAATGAACCCTAACAATTTACCTAAATTCTAGCCTTCAAGCTCTATTATTTGACTTTTTTTTTTTTTTTTTGAGTCAAACCAGGGAAATCTTTGAAGCCACAGAATCCTTTTCTAAGAGCTCAAAGTAACTGTAGGGGAAAAACAGCTATTACCAATAAAGCCATCACTGTATCTTAAATATAGAATCTTTAAAAATTTCACCTCAAACATACCCTCAAATAAGAAATTGTCTTCAAATTACTCATTTAAAACTACGTGTAACAATATATCAAAAACCAAATACAGATCAAAGTTATATTTAACAAATACTAAACAATATTTAAAACTTACAAACAATACCCATTTAGTTTAAATATCTGATTTTTGTAATTACTAAATAATTTAAAAGCAAGATAGTTAAGTTTCTAGTGGAATACCTGATCGTAACTGCCACCTTTTTTACTCACCAAAATGTCACTTGGTAGCAAATGTCCAGTGAAAAGTCTCCCTTAAGCACCAAAGTGGTCAACTATGTATCAGATACAACAATTCATTTCCCCATAAATTTATTTTGGTGTATCTATATAAAATACCTGAAGTACTCCTGAGTATCAACAACCAGCCAATCTTTGGTAGCAAGTACATGTTCATGGAAAAGCCTGTTCTGATCAGAGAACTTTTAAGGTTTTTAGAAGCTTAACAACTCTTGAGACTGGATCACCAAAAGAGCATAACTGAGAACTTAACATACTTTATGTAAAGACTGCAGACTACAAAATATTAAAATTTTTCTCCTAAACAAGTCATAAGTTATTTGTTCAGAACCCACAAATGCAACAATCTCTAATCGGTTCCTTGAGGAAGGTGGCTAGCTAAAATTTTGGAAGCGTTGGCTTTGGTGGTGACCAAGGAGGAAGACGTCTCTGGCTTCCCTGGTGCTACAGTTCCCACTCTTCAAAGTGAACATACCCACCGGTGTGAATTGATAATGTGGTCCAAAGAGCAAGGCAGCAACGGAGTCCAGATCCTCAAAATGGCAGTAGGGGGCATAACCACTAGACTACCTATCTAGTTCAGTACAAAAAGTACAACCCTGTGTGTGCATCACGGTGCGATAGCTGGGGCCCAGGTTTCGCATTGTGCATCTCACACCTACGGAAATAATAAGAATAAAATCTATAGACATCAACACACCCTAAGAAGGTGAGTGTTCACCAAAGACCAGTGTCAACACTTTTGCAAAGGTGGTTGGCTACTAAGATAATGAATAGCAATTACAATCCCAAAGTTGAAAGAAAACAAAATTTTACAATCAACTGTTGAGTTTGATCATGGAGAACTCAATGTGGGCTAGATGTTTACCAACAAGGCTTTGCAAATCATGACACCCATCCACGTGCTTATGAAAACTACTACCCCACTAACATCTGCCGTATCTAAAGAATGATTAACTCTCAAAGAGTTGGAAAGATTTGGGCTATTAAGAAGGGAGGTATCAGCAATACCCCAAACCAGTTACTCTTAGGTTTTAAGCTTTTCCCTTTACCATCTGACCTTGGAAAGATATGGTGACAATGATTCAAAGTTTAAGGTGGAAGAATTCCAGACAAGGGGAAATCTGTGTACCAAGGATGTGCCAAGGTGATTCATCAAGAACTAAAGTAGATTGTTTGAGGGTCAACAGTTTTGAAAAGTAAAAAGATAGAACTTCTAAAATGCAGGGTGGATTTTTAAAAAGATATAAAAATCACTGCTCTTGACTCAATTCTTCGCCATGTTGCTGTCAGCTCACCAACTAAGTGTGCAGTGTGTCTTGCTAGGCCCATTTTCCCATGGTCTGTAGAAGGCGCTGTGAAGCACATCCTGTTCTAGCTCTGGGGCCCTTCCCCCCATCTGCAGCCTTACCCAGTGCAGAGAATGCGCCCCCTACTGACTCCAACACTCATAGCCTTTAGCCGACTTGGCTGCGGTGCATTTTGGGTGGGGGCTGGTATTTTCATGGCCATAAACCAGAAGCAACAATGCAGATTTCTAAAGAAACTGTCTCAAGCTCCCCAGGAGTTTTTTTCTTTTCCTTTTCATTTTGAAGGTTCAAGGCACTGGCACGAGAGGCATCAGGAATACGAGTTGGGTGTGTGGGGATGGACAGCATTAAAATGGCAAGCACTGGAAACAGTTTGGTTCTTTTTCCCCTCCCAAGCCTTTGTCTGAGAAATGGGGTTATGGCAAGAACTGTCCAGAGGAATTGGTGAATGCAGAACATCAAGAAGACTTAGTGTGGGGTGTGTGTGGCTAAAAAGGATATTAGATCTTAGTGCCCGATCTTGGGCAGAAGAGGAAGAGAAGCAATCGCGCCTTTTCCAGCAGACAGGCATCCAGTTTGGGGGGAGGGGAAGCCAGTCAGGCAGCCCAGAGGAAAGAGGTGAATAAAAGGGTGCTCAAAGAACTAGTCCCCATTCATTGCATTAAAAAAAAAAAATCTTTTCGCAGCTTTCTGGATTTCCATTTCCTACCACCTTATAAGTTGGGGCTCAGAATGCTCCTCAGAGGTCGTGCTGACCAGGCGCTGCGATTGAGTGAAGAGGGTGGTGGTGGACTCCGTGATCCGGGAGGAGGGGAGCTGGCATATCGGGGAGGAAGGACTGCACAGCAGAGGCAGACTTTCACTCGTGCGGTGCATGCTTCCCGCCCCCCAAACCGCTCCCCCCTCCCCTAGCTATGGGTGGATAGACCTGGCAGAAGGCTCGTCCCAGGTTTGGGGGTGTGCGTGGGGGCCGGCGGGAGGAAAGGCTGAGTTCCAGGGATGGGAGAAGCTCGGCTCTTGCTGAGGGCGGGGTGGAGAGAGATGCCATGAGCGGCTGAAGCTCCGGCGGCCAGGCTGGCTCGCCGGGTTCCGCGGCTCACGAGTCGGGGAGCGGGAAGCGGGGTTCGGGCTGCAGGAGGAGGCGCCTGGCCCCCGGAGCAGAGCCGGGGAGCGGTTCGCGCGGGGCGGGCGGCCCGTCTGCCCCGGAGTATGCAAAGGAGCGTGTGCGGTTGGAGGGCTGGCAATGTAGACAACAATGTGCCGGGGCCGGCTCGGCGGGCGGAGCGCGGACCGAGGGCCAGGCCGCGGGCGGCGCGCGGCTTACCTTGACTCGGCCTCGAGGCGCGCGCGGGGCCGGCGTGCTCGGGGGCCGGGCGGGAGCAGCGGCGGGCGGGCGGCGGCGGCACGGCGGTGGCGGCGAGGGCGCGCCCGGGCTCGGTGGCCTCGTCGGGCTCCGGCTCGCGCCGCGGCCGCGGCTGCTGCCGGGGGGCGCGGCGGGCGCAGCAGAGCGGCGGGCGGGCGGCGGCGGTGGCGCGAGCGGCTTCCTCCAGTCCCCGCGCGGGCGGCGGCGTCGTCGAGCGGTGCAGACAAAGGAGGGGCGGAGGGAGGAGACGGAGGGTGTGGGAGACGCCGCTTCACTGGCTCGGGCAGGCGGACGGCGGCGGCCGCGCTCCTCTCGCTCCTCAGCTGCGGGGACCGAGAGAGGGAGCTGTGCCTGAGGAGACGCCAAAATCCCCCTTAGCGCTGCCCGCGGGAGGGGGAGGGGGGACAAGATGGCGGCGGCGGGGGGGCGGGAGTTCAGCTCATGGATCTCGGCGGGCGGCGGAGGGGAGACCGGGCCGGCGGCGGCTGCGGCTGCAACGGGCGGGGGAGGGGGCAGATCCCGCGTCTCCCCTCAGCAGACAATACAAGCGCCTCAGAGCAAGTCCCCGAACCTGCCCTAGCCAAAATGGCGGCTGAGAAAGAGCGGAAGTGACGTAAGAGCTCATTAGCATAAGAGGACTCATTGTCCAGCTAAGTGTGTGTGGGGGGGACGCGGTACCCTTTCCACACGTGTCCCCAGGGACAACTCTCTTACTCCCAATTATGCTGGCACCTAACTTTTTCTGAAGGAGGGTGGCGCCAGCACCCCTCCACCCCGCCTAAGGGAAATTATATAATCCCCACTGAGGAAGAAATCTCGCGAGAACCCAGAGGTTTTGCCATTGACCCACTAGGAGGCGCCGCAGATAAAGGCCGCAGTGCGCTCCCAGGGCCCGTGTGCACGGCAGGCGCCTTCACTGGCCGCAGCGCCGGCGGCGGAGCACAGCAGAGGCCGCAGCACCCAGCACTCAGTCAGGTGGCCGAGCTGGGATCCCTGCGCGGGCCCAGCTGGGCCGCACTACATCTGGCGGGAGGGGGCGTGTGGGCAGCCTGAGGCACCACGTGCCGACAGCCCCAGCTCTCACTGGCTGAGCAGCAGCGGGAAGGGCAGGGACACCTGGCTGGTGGTGCCTGATGCCTCCAGCTTAAATGAGGTGTGAGTGCCTCGTGCTTCACACACTGACTTGAGGTGAGACAAACCCCATGGGTGATGCCGGAACCCTTCCTGGTAGGTGGGCTGTTCAGTGGGCAGGGGCTGTGTTTTACAGAAAGCAGGCTTTGCCCTTCTACTTGACATTCTTCCAAGGCTGTGATGGTGGGCTCTTCTCCTTGGCCTGAAGAGAACAAATGGGATCCCTAGTGTTTTGAGGCCATTAGACTGGTGAAGCCCAAGGATGAGAAATGATGTTGTCAGTGGACCTCAAGATCCTTAAAAACTACACTTTGACTGTAGAGTTCTAGGGACAGTCACTTCGTGCTCCCACAATCTGACAACTTAAGACAGCACATGGACAATTTGCCTTTGTAAATGTAGGTCAACCCCAACCAACACATTACCTCCTCAACATTTTTGAAGCCACCTTTAATAGCAGGATGCATCTGAGAGTATATCATTGGCTAAACATACTGAAAAATACTAAACGCCAATAGTGAAAAATTAACCAAGCCTGTTTTCTAAAGATGTGCTCTGTAAATACACTTAACTTTTGCTGTTACTCTAAATTTCAAGGTAACAGTTTCAAGCCATATCCCAATACCCCAAAAGAATCTTACCTTAACTGAAAATAGTACAAATTATGGTTACATGTAGTCAATGTAACCTTCGAGTTAGCAGATTTAACAAAATGCGTCATCCAACACAGTATTTCATTCATTTCGGAAATTGTGATAAAACACATCCTTAAACCCAAATCAGTATTTCAAAGGAAAACAATAGCTGGGAAAAGTTGTAAAAGGAAAAGGGGGTAGGGGCGCAAAGCATTTGGTTTAGAGAGACAAAGATGACTCAATTACATGTTGCAGAAGACAGGCAAAACTAATATGAAATAAGCAAGTTTTTATTTTTATTTTATCTTAGATATATTTCCTAGTGATAATACAAAGGGAGAACATCTGGATTTCATTCTTGGCCTCATTCACAAAGTAAAAAGGGATGCTGGATTCACATGTAAATGATTTTAGTGTTTAAGTCACCACATTTAGTACAAAAATGTACCTAAATAGTCTAGATTCTTTTCTAATAACTTCCAAATGGTGAAAGTCTTCACTGCTCAAATACTTTTAGTGTAAACTTCAATAAGTCACAGTGTTGTAATGTTTGTGGAAGAAAGAACTGAAAAGATTAAAAAGGCAAAAGGTATCTACTCTAGTGGAGGTCTGAGAAGGCATTACTTCTAGTGGGTTCTCTGAGGTACTTGGTTCATCTCTGCTCCAGATACTTGATAATGAAAACACTTTCGGCTTTGGATGAATGAGAACAGATTCTAAATACTTTTTAAATAGAAAGGATATTGTATTTATGTTAGCTTAAAAGCAATTTTACATAAAACAGTGATAATTTTTCTAGTAATAATGAGAGAAATTACTTCCTGAGGAAGGTGGATCTCTGGTGCGCCCTGCACAGCTCTGTGTAAAAGGGAAATGCAACACTAGAGGCTCTTACTGCAACGTGTCCTATGGATTCAACTATGGGAATAGGCAATGTTCAAAATGGCACCAATGGTTTAATACTCTGGTATTCATTTCTGGTAGGATCTGTTAAATTTCTTGACTTTGGCAGCCAAAGTAAGCCCGGGAAATGTAATTAAGAATATGGTTCACTAATTTTTTATTAAATAACTTAGAGATGCCTCCTCCTCTTATTTGCAAAGGAAAGTCAACTTGATCTTAAGCTTATATGCCCATAGTATGCCACACCCCAAAATTTAAAATATACTTCATGATCCAAAAGCTATGTTACAGTTACAGACTGATCTTTTTTGAAATACCTACTTTAGAGAAGGAAAACAAAATATTTGCGCTGGCTTTACTAAACAACTTAACCTGCATATAAACTATCAGAACATTTTTCTGAACAGAGAGAAAAAGCTGTAAGAACGGAACTTTTGTTTTTTTTTATAGAAAAGATGTATGCTTTCTTGAGGGTCCTGAAATAATATGAAAAGAGTTATTTTATGAAAGAAAATCATTATATAGTATGTTAAGAGCAACTAAATTTATGCTTTAATAGCATCAATATTTTTCTTTACTGATAGAAGTTATTGCTCAGAAGAGCAAACACAGCTATGCTATCAACTGTTGTCAAGTTGTTTCCAATTCAAATATATATTTTAAATAGACTCGCTTTGACAGTTGAATTGCTTCACCAACTTAACAGCTGCAAAGAACCAAACTCTAAAACTGTGCTCTAAATGTATTGTTTTATCTGACTTAAGAAATTTCAGATACATTTTAAAAGAAAGGGCAAAAGTGTGTATTTCTTTTTCAATTCACACAGAAAGTCATATATATTTCATGAATAAGCATTCCTCTTCTGGCATCTATTAGGTACAAAGAGCTAAAAATACAGTTTTTATAGAAAATATTTCAAGATCTTCCCCTGTAAGAAATTCTACATTCACATACTCTAATAAAAGCAGCAATATTTTATGCAAAAATCCATATGCATTTATTTGTAGGTCTTAATACAGCAAAATGTTAAAGAAAATTGAGAACACTGCTCATTTTTCTAATTTAATTTGACATATAAAATGGAATTTCTTCGGAAAAAAAGATTTGCATGAAATTTATCTTACCTATGATTTATGCTCTAAGTACATTAAAAAAAAATCAGCAACCAACTTCCTCTGTTTAAATTGAAATGAATGTGATAAATAAATAACTTTCTATTATGTAGTTGCAAAGAGAGTCAATAATCCTTTCAAGAAAGAGACTATTTCGTTTCCTCCCAACTTGGATTCACCGTAAACACGATCCACAAATGTTATTGGAACCTAGTTAAAAAAATATATGTTAAGTCAGTCTTCAAAAATATTAGAAAGGAAGTGTAGCAAGCATATAAAAATTACTAATACAACCAAAACTTAAGTTCTATGAAAGCAATTCCTTTAAATTGAAGCAATTCCTTCAATTTTTACAACTGTGTGTACCTCCTAGAATTTTTAAAAATTTAACAGGCACTTTATTATCTAAAACTGGGCCATTATAAACCAAATCGACATGTGTTTGAAAGCACTGATCCTGCATATTAAGTTGGTTTATTCAAGTTTGACTGGATTTCAAGGAAAAATTATATTGCAAAAGTAAAATAGCCTTTCACTTAATTTTTTCATTAGTCTGTCAAATTTAGCTGTCATTATATTTTAGTATTAAGTTAAAAATTTTGTAATTTCCATAAGATGTGGCATTCTAGCTAGCTACTTCTTGCTCTAAGAGTCCTAGTGTTAAACAAGGAGAGTATTCCCTAATAGTTCATGAGCTAGCTGTAAATATTATAGACCCTTCCCCCTTCCCCCGAGCTATTCCTGTGCTTTCCGTTTCCTCGTAGGAAATGGGCAATGGAACTCAGCATTCACTTTAAATTTGGGTGGGTGTGGACTACGGCAGGAGGAAAGCAGCGAATAGACTCATCCCAGAATACTGAGTGGTCAGAAGAAAGGGCAAGGATGGAGAAGATACCAGTAACTTTTAATTATTTAAAAGGGAATGCTGCCTTTCTGGTAATCTTGGTAGGTCAAATGTATTGCTGTGAAACGGATGTGAATTTTCACCCGTTAGCGCATGGGCATTCTCAACAGCTGGAAGCCTTTCACTTTTGGTAGTTAAGAAAATTAAACTTTTTACAACAAAAAGTCTACACCTTATTATTTATAAGGACTGCAACATATTATTTACCATTAATTGCATACCTCGCCAATAGTATAATTCAACTGTCTTGCTCGAACAATCATTTCCATCTGGAAAACGTAGCCTTTAGAAACACATTTTTCTATTAATTTCTGTAGAACTTCTTTTCGATATAACCTGTATGAAATTTAAAAATATATGTATAAACACCTAGATAAATACACTTAACTACATGCATCCTGACCTCTCAAAAAGTTCACTTGTGTTTTCTAGCCGGTTTAGCCTGCAGACTGAAGGGTCCTGGGTTTGATTCCGGTCAAAGGCATAGTCCTTGGTTGCAGGTTCCTCCCCAGCCCGGACCCTGGCCGGGGATCGTGCAGAAGGCAACCAATTAATGTGCTTCTCTCACATCGATGTTTCTCTCTTTCCCTCTCTCTAAAAATCAATGGAAAAATAGCCTCGGGTAAAGATTAAATTTTAAAAAATTCACTAGTATTTTTAAGACCTAAAAATGTTACTAGTCATCCTATATAATAAAAGCATAGTATGCAAATTGTCCCCTCCACGGGAGTATTTCCGGGAGTTCGACCAGGGGGTGAGCCCGCCTGGGGAAGGGAGGGAGGCCCCCACTGGCAGCCAGCAGCCACTAGGGATCCTATTGGTGTATGAATAAGTTGATAAACATTTGTCCTGAAACAGAGGGTCATGAAATACCTTGTAAATAGTTTAGAAAATGAATTCTTAGTATCTTTTAGGGAATTATTTTTCTACCATACTATCAGAAATTATAAAAATATAGTAAATTAAGTCATTCAAAGCAGAGCCTATTGTTTTTAACTTTCAAAATTTTCTTAAAATTAATTTTTAAAGTGGAAAGAGTAGAAATTGTTCCAAAAGTTGGAAAAATAGAGTTGATAGATGATGAAGCAATAATATAAACTAGATGACAAGAAAGACTCTGGTAATTAACAGGGGTTTCCTCATAAATGTTTATGATGAGCTTCTATTTCTGGAGATCTACTAAATAAATTTTCTGGGATACACTAGCCGCTCCAAGATTAGGCTGGGTAAGCTAGATTAAGACAGGAACTGGGAGGCAATCCTGGTTGGACACAGCTCTCACCAGTCAGAAATCAGTTTTTCCCTCTTTTTTGAGAGCAAGTTAGTAGAGGCAGTTTAGCATAACTTAGTTTTCTTCCCAGTTCAAGGCCACCTGGATTTACAATGCCCAAGGGCTTTACCTGGAACCCACACTGACTTTTTTCTCAGGCTTCCTCTAGGGAACCCTACCTCTTTCGGCTTTTCCAGCTTTTAAGTGGGTATTAAATGACAGAGAGAGGAACCTGAGAACGACTAGTGTGTGCACTCTTTTACCCACATAGGTTCTATAAGAGTTCAAAAGGATAAGCTTGAAATAAATCTAAAGGGAGGAGAAATGGATGGTAGAATAGTTATGCAATAAGTATTTATTAAGCAACCTACTGTGTTTAAGGCTCCTTTTTATGTTTTAGGATTTTAGCAGTAGAAACTAAATAAATTTATCACAAACTTAATTAAATAGGGAAGGGAAATTCGATTATGGGAAAGACTTATTATCATGATGGGATATTTCAGCATCACATTTTAAACTGGGTTTTAGCTAGGAATTCTCTCCCTTTAAGTCATTTCACTCCTCATAAAGGGTTATTTCATTTATTTATCTTTATTGCCGCCCTTTCTCCCCCACCACAGTAGCTTTAAAACTATGACTAATGATGTAATACTGCATACATGAAGCCATGAGCCAACAAACAGGATAATTAGGATCCAAGTGGTCTATGCTATTATATGGCTTTATATCAGATTGCAGTCTTTTGGGTTCCCTTTATTAGGTAAAAGACACATGCCTCCTCAATACTAGGAACTTCATCTAATGAGAAGTTGAACTTTAAGCATGTATTTAATAAGCCACTACTCTTATCAAGGCTTATAATGAGCTTTAATGATTTAAAAGTAATGACATCAACAGGCTCACTTCTGTGTGTGTGGCTATTCTGATTTTTGCACAGAACACACCTAATCACTGCTCTCTCTAAAAGACACCCGGAGCCGAAACCAGTTTGGCTCAGTGGATAGAGCGCTGGTCTGCACACAGAAAGGTCCCAGGTTCGATTCTGGTCCAGGGCAAGTACACTGGCTGTGGGCACATCCCCAGTGAGAAGCAGCTGGTTGATGTTTCTCTCTGATCAATGTTTCTAGCTCTCTGTCCCTCTCACTTCCTCTCTATAAAAAATCAATAAAATATATTTTAAAAATAAAAATAAATAAAAATAAAAGACACCCAGAACTCACCCTTCCTCTATTCCCCAGATGGTCTGGCGGCAATGAGGTGCTGCCACCCAATACTCTCTCTGTTGTGTTTTTCTTCATAGCTGGGTTCCCATGTGATGCTGTAAGTCTCATGTCATTAGAATGTATAAACATGAGGACAGTGCGTGGCATGCAATTGTTTGCTCAATCTAAAATGAACCACCCTTTAGTTGTGAAAGCACCTGCAGAGCTTTCAATAGGGGAACTCAGCCAAAAAACAAAGCCCCTACCTATCTCCACAACTCATGGAGCCATCCTGGATCTTCAATCGAAGTCATCATGCCTATGGCCTGTGAAGTCCACATTGGCCATTCTGTCTGCACAAAGATTCTGCAAGTGCCATTACTCTTTGCATTGTTGCTACATGGTAATCAGTGATCTTAATCAGATAACACATTCCTTTGTCTTGACGTGTGGAACAAAAGGGTACATCTGTCTTTTACACACCAAAATCTGCTTTCTAACCAATTTACATTTTAATTCTAGAGAGGCTTCATTTTCAATATTTGGTCTCTAATCTGTGATGTCTCCTCTATTTATTGTTTGGGGAGAAGTGGAAGATGGGGAAGATGAGTCCGTGGCTCATAAACACTCTTATTTTACCAAATAAAGACATTTTTTAAAAAATTCTCCTTCACTTTTGACCTTCTTAGTGTCTCTGAACTGCTATTTAAGACTTACAGTTACACTACAGGTACTAATTACCTTTAATGGTCAGCTCCTAATTTGTGTGAATTCTAGTGAATAAAAAATCAACATAATTTAATGGAAAAAGTAAATATCAAGTAATATAAAATATTAACAAATGCATGGGGTTTGGGCTTCAATGAAAATGAACAGGCATTTTATAGTTTTGATGATGATGAACATCTGGCAGGCTTTAATCATTTGGCATCGTCATATAAAATAGTTCATCTACTGCAGTGTTTCCCAAAGTGTGGTACGCGTACCCCCAGGGGTATGGGAAGAGTTTGGTGGGGGTACGTGTTGCACCGGAGTTTGGTGGGGATATGCACTGCACTGTGCTTAGCTGCGCCTAATTCTACGTCCTCATGAGTACAAGGGGTACTCGGCGTTACGAAAATTATAGAAGGGGTACACATATGTCAAAAGTTTGGGAAATACAACAGGTCTAATATTAAAACACATATACCACCCTCTTCCAAGAATAAACAAAAATAAAAAAAATCCAGGGACCCAAGAGGAGGCTTTGTACCAATTAAATAAGAAATTTTATTAAAAAAATAATGGTCAACACGGTAACTGAAAAGACTCTATATAAATAAGGCTTTAAACTTTTATGTAGACCATGCTGTAAGTATTTATATAATTGCAGAAAATTCCCAGAAGAGGTGCTATTCTCTGGAGCACATTGCCAGCGACAGCAATGTTTAGAATGAGTAGTGAATGTCACTTTGGGGGCCCAGAGGGCACCCTATGGACAGAATATTAGTATTAACATGGACAAGCACACTAACCTGAGCCCTGCCTTTAATGCTCTTTAAAAAGCAGTGTTTTTCAAGACGTGGAGGCTTCATTAGCATCTTCTAAGGAACTACAGTCTGCCCTTTTAGAGTCCCAGGACAAAAACAAGCCATTGTGCTCAACAACTGAGTGTCTACCAGGCACCAAGAGGTCACCAGTTTGATTCCCAATCAGGGCACACAGGTTGTGAGCTAAATCCCCAATATGGGGTATGCAGGAGGCAGTGGATCAATGATGTTTCTCTCTCATCGATGTGTCTTTCTTTCTATTCCTCAGGACCTTCCTCTCTCTCCCTTAAAAAAAAAAAAAAAAACAAAAAAAAAAAAAAAAAAAACAAACCACAACAAAACAAAACAATAAAAACACATTTAAAAATAAAACCATAAAGCAAGAAATTTAGGCAGTTATAAGTAGGAGAAATAAAAAAATTACAGGTTTTCACTCTACCTGAAACTTCCTGTTAAATCAGATGCTCCTGGTCTCAGCAAAATCTGAGTTATAAAATTGGCCCCACGGCTGTCAAATAAAACAATCAGATTTTCTTTATAAAATAGTTTATAAACAAGAGAAACATCCAAGAGTACTAAAAATACTTCCTAATTTCATAAATAAATGCAACACTATTTCACAAAAATATTAATTCTATAGAACAAATAAACTGTTAGTCAGTGCAAGGAGATCTGATGTTTTGGATTTTCAGAAAATAGAAACATTTGGAGGGAACCTGTAAAGCAATCACTTTTAAACTTTAGGTATGAATGATAGCAGGTTTTTAACTTGTGTATTTGTTAGCAGCCATTTAGAATTTCAAACATCTGTTAGCTAGCAAAAGATGAGAGATCTGGAGTTTCTTTTTCATATTCTAATAAGCACAAAGGGAGAGTGAGTGGTTTCAACTAAGTTATAGGTTTGCATAAAAATGGCGCTTAAAAAAAAAAAAAAGGAGAAGGTGTGTAAGTAAAAGAGGGCTTTGGTTTTTGGCAATCTCTGGAAATTATCCAAGGTTCAATCCGAGACTGTCTGAGTCTGCTTGGGCTGCTATAACAAAACACCAGTGTAGGTGGCTAAACAGATATTTCTCATGCTACTGGAGGCTAGCAAGTCCAAGGAAGTGAAACCTCTTCCTGGCTTACAATGCTGCCTTCTTGCAGTGCTCACTCAACAGGGAAGGGCAGGTCCAAGCTTTCCTCTTCTCTTCAGCACTAATCCTACCATGAATGCCCCACAGTGAGGACCCATTTACACCTAATTACCCCCCAGAGGCCCCACCTCCAAATATCAACACTTTCAGGGTAAGGTTCTCTAACATGAATTTTAGCAGACACACTGAGTCCATAACAATGACTTTAGGGCACTGCTTCAAACACCTCTAAGTATCAATCAAATACAAGCTATTACTGACAGCCATTAACATTTCAAAAAGATGTGTAAGGCCCTCTTGAAAAAAGTGACTTTTGTACTGCAGCTATTTTACTGTGCTCATATTTAAACACACACACACACACACACAAAACTTTTCTAGGGCAGCCTGGAGATAAGTTTCCACAGCCAATTTAACCACCAAGGCCATCTTATAGAAAGATGATTTTTATACAAATAACACGGGCCCAGCTGATGTAGCTCAGTGGTTGAGGTCACAGTTCAATTCCAGGTCATGGTACATGCCAGGCTGGGGAGTGGGGGAGGGGGTGGGAGAGAAGGGAAAGCATGCAGGAGGCAGCCATTGATGATTCTCTCTAATCACTGATGTCTCTCCCTTCCTCTCTATGAAATCAATAAAAACATATTTTTCAAAATATAACACAGGGCGCCCTAACTGGTTTGGCCCTGTGGATAGAGCGTCAGCTTGTAGACTCAAGGGTCCCAGGTTCGACTCTGGTCAAGGGCATGTACTTTGGTTGCTGCACATCCCCAGTGGGAAGTGTGCAGAAAGCAGCTGATCAATGTTTCTCTCTCATTGATGTTTCTAACTCTCTGTCTCCCTTCCTCTGTAAAAAAATCAATAAAATATATTTAAATATATATATTTAACACAGGGATATAGCTGGGATAATGGCTAACAAAAATACTCCCTTCCTCCAAATTTGTTTTAAAAGCAATAACAACAAAAATTCCAGGGCACAGTCCTCCCCTCCCCCAATATGTATGTAATCAAAGATATTTAAGTATATATATCTACATATTGTGTATATGTGTGTGTGTGTATCTGCATGTATTTAAGGTATGTATTTTTAAATAGGGGTCTGTTAAAGTGCAGCAAGAGTCAGACAGACTTGGGTTCAAATTCTGATTCTGGACCATATAAATGAGACCTTGCACAAGTGATAACAATCTTTCTCAGGAGTTTATAATTTAAGTCAGCTCAGACATGAACAACTAATGACATTTACAACTAAATGATTCAACTAAAAGCTGTAAACTGTCTCTGATTGGGACTCCCTAATTTTAAGAACAGTTTTAATGGACCGAAATCAGAGAGGCCTGAGAAATTATTATTGGTTTCAATCTTGTCTGCATATAGTCACTTGGGAAGTCTGCAGAAAATACTGATGCTTTGGCCCCACCTATGAGAGCTATTCAAACGGTTTGCATTGTGTGTGTGCACAAGAAAGGGAGTTGTGTGTAATTTTCTCCCTACATAATTTCAATATTTAGCAGGATTGAGAACTACTGTTTTATCCAACCCCTTCATTTCTCTGAAGATTGAGGCACTTACATGTTTTAAATGACTTGCCCAAGATTCACAGTTAAAAGGCAAACTTGAGATTAACAGAATCTTCAACAGGAATGAAGTAGATGATTAAAAAAAATAGTAATGGCCAAAAATTCTTTACGGGTCTTTCATTCTATTTCTGTACCTCTTGGGTAAGGGCTTGCCTTGACCAAGAATTAGTCCCAGAACCTAGGACTCAAGAAGCCTTATGGCTGCAGCCTTGGTAATGTTGGACAATGCCTTTAGGAAGCCATGTAAAGAAGCTGTATAGCTTTCCAGAAGGTGAGGGGCCACATGCAGACAACCACCACCATCAACTATTGGATGGATGAATGAGGCTACTTGGATCTTCTAGCATAGCTGCCTCTCCAGCTGAAGGAAGCTGCATGAATGAGCACAGGTGAAGCCAGCAGAGGACCCACCACCAGCCAATCCACAGAACCAGAAGAAATGATGTCGTCATTTTACATCACTAAGCTTTGGGATGGTCTGTTATACACCAATAGAAAACTGAAACGGTAGGTTTCATTTCCATTTTATGATGGGGAAAGTAAAGCTTAGGAAAACATGCAAGGTGACAGATAATTAAATGATACAGTCAGGATTTTAACCCAAGTCTGACTACAAAACCTCACTACTTTATGCTCCTTAAAAAAAGGTGAAATAATTAAGTGTCTTACTTAAAACGATAAAAATACATATGGAAAACTACCTTAATAGTCCTAAAATTTAGATGAAGGTTCAGAGAATATATTTGTGCTGAATCATACCATTTTTATCAAAGTTTCAAAGGTTTATGTTGATTTTTCCTTAGTGAAAAAGACCCCAAATAAAATAATCATAGGAAAAATTGTAGGTAAGAAGCTATCTAGAAATATTTATTGGAAATTAATACTCTGATCCCACAAATAACAAGGCAGTATGGTAATTTAACCTAAATACCTGTTATAAACATATTTATAGTAGTTACACTAAAAAACCAGTAATCATAGCACATGTATGTACCTGATTAATTTTCTTTTCAAATCCCAGCCATAAACACCTCCATTTCCTTTGTAGCGAGTTCCAGAGACAATGTCAAAATTACCTTCCTTTTGCTTCCTGTAGAACAAATAAATTAGCTGTCAATTAGAGAAAGCTACTGGGCTTTCAATAGTTATTTTCGAGTTACACAAACAGAACAATCAAGACTTGCATCTAGGAAAAACAATGCCAATTATTACTACTACTGAAAGATCTTTCAAAGTAAGCTTTTCAAACTTGATCCTTTTCTTCCTTCATTGATATTTAAAACAGTGCATTTGCTGACTGCACAATGTGAAACCATCCTAAAATGTAATAATAAAATTAAATTTACACAATCCCCCTGCATTTCTTTTCTTGTACCTGAAATAAATAATGCTAAAACAGCCTGACAACCTTCTAGATCTCTCTCTTTCTACAGAAAGACAACTCAAAGACAGGACTCCCTATAGTGTTTTATGTCACTTTTACAAATTTGGAATCCCAAAAAAGTATGTTTTGCAACTTGCTTTTTGTCAATTAATAATACAGATCATGGAATTATAGATATCCCTATAAAGTTGACAGAGAATTTCCCCATTCTTTTTTGTTGTTATTGTTAATCCTCACCCAGGGATATTTTTTCCATTGTTTTTTAGAAACTGGAAGGGAGGAAAGGATGGGGAGAGAAAGAGAGAAACATGTGAGAGAGACACATCAATTGGTTGCCTCCTGCACAGGTCCAACTAGGGCCAAGGATTAGGTACGTGCCCTTGACCAGGAATCAAATCCAAGACTCTTTGGTACCTGGGCTGATACTCTAACCACTGACTCCCATGGGCCAGGGTCTCCATTCTTGTTAATAGCTGCAAAAATATTTAACCCGTATACTCATATGATTGTTTCCATGATGGGTGCTCTGATTCCCAAGAGCATAAGCACAATAGACTACACAAAGTACAACATAATGGAATTGCTAAAATAATCCTAACAGATCTCACCATAGAAATTACTTTCCAAAAATGTAGCAACTCACTTCTTCCTGCAATATTTGAGTGTGCTCATTTTCTACAGTCTTATTTGTGCTAGATGTATTGCTGAATTAAGTTTTTAAGTTTAATAAACTAATGGGTAATAACATCATAGTTAATTATTTTATATTTTTATTGATTTCAGCGAGGAAGGTAGAGGGAGAGAAAAATAGAAACATCAGCCGAAACTGGTTTGGCTCAGTGGTAGAGCATCGGTCTGCGGACTGAAAGGTCCCAGGTTCAATTCCGGTCAGGGGCATGTACGTTGGTTGGGGGCACATCCCCAGTGGGGGTAGTGCAGGAGGTAGCTGGTCGGTGTTTCTCTCTCACTGACGTTTCTAGCTCTCTGTCTCTCTCCCTTCCTCTCTGTAAAAAATCAATTAAAAAAAAAAAAAAGAAATATCAATGATGATGCATGTCCCCCCACCTGGGTTGAGCCCGAAACCTGGGCATGTGCCTTGATTGGAAATCGAATCATGACCCTACAGGTTGAGAACCGCTAGTAGGGTTTGCCTAAGACCATCAGAAAACAGATATTTACATTATAATTCATAACAGCAGCAAAATTAATTATGATGTAGCAAAAAAAAAAAATAATTTTATGGTTGGGGGTCACCACACCATGAGGAACTGTATGAAAGGTTCATGGCATTAGGAAGATTGAGAACTACTGTCCTAGGGCAGTCGTCGGCAAACTGAGGCTCATAAGCCGCAGTTGCCGCTCTGTTGACTAATGAGTTTGATGACCACTGCTAGACTAAATGTTACCGTGTAGTTGGAAGCTGTGAGGATTAGGCAATTGTGGAATATTGTGTACAAAGAGGTAAAGGGTAGTATATGACAGTGGTTGGTAGTATATGACACTGTCCTAGGGTGACTATCTTCTTAGGTTTATTAGCCATTTGAATTTTTTTTATCAGTACATATGGCCTGTTTGCATCTTTCCTGTTTCCCACACCACTGTTCCTATCTCTTTATCAAGTCAAAGGAGCTTTGTGTATTGGAGATAAAAGCAGAGATGGTATCTCTGAGGTGATTCACTGACCACTAAGGAGCAGGCAAAGAGCACTGCAGGCAAAGGGAACATAGCATCCTGTGAGCACAGAAATGGAAGGAGTATGCCTGCAGTAGAAAAAGCAAAGGGGAGAGGCACAAGGTAAGTTCAGAAAGGGAGACGGGGACCAGATCACACAGCAGTTTGAGGGACAAAAACACACACAAACCTGTGGATTTTCCCGTGTTATATTTTATACTAAATTCTTGCCTAAAAATATTATGTAAAATATTCATGCTTAATATTAGCTGGTATGCCTATCTTGAGGAATTAGAAATGATTCCACATTTCACCATTTTGTAAAACATTTGTATTAGGATTGGGTTTTCTTTATACGTTTAAGTGGTTTCCTTCCATTTGTACTTTATAAAATTTTTATTAGAAATGGCTGGTGAATCTGATCAAATTATCATCTACAGACTTAATCACACTATTTTATTTTATTTTTTGTTAATGTTATAAATTATGTTGACGAATTCCTGAAGATGAACCACTCTAGCATTCCTGAATAAACCTTATTTGTTCATGGGGTTTCACCCTTATGATCTAGGGCTTAATTCCATTTAACAGGAAGTCACCTACTGGCTTTATATGTAGTCTGGAATAATCTAGATAAAAGAGAAATTATTTGTTGATCAGTTCTTCAGGGCTCCTAAAACACATCATTTAGTCACATACTATATACTCATGAGTCTCAAATCAATATGTTCGTTTTATTTTTGGTAGCTAACAAAATAGCATGTTCATTTTTCAATTAATAAAGAATGAAAAACAAAAATAAGTCTAAAATCAATATAAGATAAATGATTTGAATCGTGTATTTTTTTCAAATATTATAATTACCTACCTAATGAATTCAGGAATAAATTTTGGCTGAAATTTAGAAAGAATAAACAGTAAGTCAGTAAAACAGGCTAAGGCAATCATAAATCCACTAATAAAGAAATATGCCACTTACATGGTGTGAGAGATCAGCATCCATAATAATTATGTAATTTCCTGTGGCATGTTTCATTCCGTGTATATATGCAGTTCCTAAAAATGAAAATATTTACCTCCATTAAAGAAAATCACTGGAAATACTTATGTATACAACATCTGAGAAGTAATTGTTAACCACTGAAAAGCATACATTAGTCCTCTAAAGATGATCCTGATCTAGTATAATTATTTACTCTCAATAAGAAACATCTCTCAATTACATTCTTTGTCGTGAATTTACATTAGTCCATGGTACCATCTTCTAATGACCCCTTCTTATCAAGCTTCCCTGCTTCTGCTCTTCTCGTCGTTCCATTTCCATAAAAAGCTTCCCTTGTCAGTGTCTTCCACACTGTAGGAGGCCAGGTACAGTAGATCCCTGCTCTGGCATTTGGGGCCAAAGGCACAGCTAGCAAACACTTAACATCTTCAGACCTAAAAATTCCTCAGGGACTTGGCAGGTAAGATAACTGACTAGGAGCAGGATTTGGGGGTTTCTGCATTCTCTAGCCCCAAACTACCACTGTCTTGCTAGCAAAGCTGATCTCTTCTAACTTCTTGTTAAGAAGTGACTATCAAAGCTTTTTGGATATACCACTGACTGGTCAGTAATTCTTGGTTGCTTTCAATGGCAATATCCAGATTATTTCAATCCCAAACAACTTTCTGGATTCAGATATTCAGAACATTTAATGAAGCCAGTTAACTAATAGTTTTCAGAATAACATTCAATTTTGAAGATCTGTGTTTCTCCAGTTTTTCAGTAAAATTATACCAATTCTTTACATAAGCAATGATGACTAACAACAGAAATGAAGGCATTTAGATCTTCATCCCAGAATGACTGAGCTCATCTGAGATTTTAACTGTTTAAAAGCTAAGAAAGATTTCTGTTTTAATATATATATATATTTTTTATTGATTTTATACAGAGAGGAAGGGAGAGAGAGAGAGTTAGAAACATCGATGAGAGAGAGTCATCGATCAGCTGCCTTCTTGCACACCCCCTACTGGGGATATGCCCGCAACCAAGGTACATGCCCTTGACCGGAATCGAACCCGGGACTCTTCAGTCCCCAAGCCGATGCTCTATCCATTGAGCCAAACCGGTCCCGGGGAAAGATTTCTGTTTTAAAAGTAAGTACCTTTTTAAAACTTATGACTTAAAGAAATGTTCAAAGGTTTATAGCTAAGGCAGTGTGCTGGTGCAATATTTTTGCCCTCAGATCCCTTATTTGGCCTTTCTCTATATTCAAGTAACTTATTTCCCAGGTTGGCTTGTCAACTGGCTTCCCTTTGAGAGGCAGAGGAGAGAAGGGAAAGGTCAAGTGGCCTCCCTCTCTCACTCTGCCTCCCTGCACGGACTGCACATCCTCAATGACTCCAACTCCAGTCGGGTATCACCGACTTCATCGTTCTAGCTTCCTCTGGGCAGCCTGGGTTGCTGCTCCATCTTGGTGGTAGGAACCTCCAGCTATTACTAATTCCCGAGTAGCTTCACTATTCCATTTGGCTCCTCAGCAACTCCTTCACCTGTGTAACCAGGTTCTCTGTATTTAATTCACTATATTGAAAGACTTGTGGTGGTACTGTTTTCCCATGTGGACCTTGACTGATACAGGCAACTCAAACCATTTAAATGTCATTAAGATCATTAAAAATCATTACAGGGAGTTACTGTATTGTGGCCATATTCCAAACAAATACACACTGAACAATCTGCCAAATCAAAAAGCAGGTGACGGGTGAGAGTTCTACTTACCTAGTCCCAACTTTTTCTCCCGTGGTCTTAGAAGCTGTAAGAATAAGAAAGAATACTTTTGACACAAATAATAAAAAAAACCTGACTACTAAAACCCCTTTTTTATTCATATAAGTTCTTCTCATTTTAACAGAAACATAGCTATATTTTATAGATCTTAGAGCAGAGTACACAACATTTTTTGCAAAAAAAAAAAAAAAAAAAAAAAAAAAGCATTTAGCAAAAAATCAAATAATGTAACAGCTTTTAAGGAAAAGCAACATTTTTTTTTTTTTTTCTCTCCCAATCCTCACAATAAAAGCCAAGTTTTATACTTTTTCTTTTTCTGATGTTTGGAAACAATGTGAACATTGTTTTATATCTGTCTCTTGATTTATCATTTTAAACAATGTCTATTGATTCCTTCCAAGGAAAACTGCAAGTCTAACTCACTTATTCAGTACCTTTTTGGAATATTTGGTAGCCAGATTTGTTTTTTTCAATTCTCTTTGTAATTTTAAATGCTGCTATCATTCTTCTTTGAACTTACCTTGACTTTACGCTTGGATGGCTCATCTCATTCTCTACTGGCCCAATGACAAAGAGGTTTTCTTACAGCCTGTCAATTACTTAATCCTTCTATATTTTGTGCTTCATATATAAACCCTGACTTAATTGCTTTTCATCTTATCTGAAAACTTTTTTAAAAAATATATTTTATTAATTTTTCACAGAGAGGAAGGGAGAGAAATAGAGAGCTAGAAACGTCAATGAGAGAGAAACATCGACCAGCTGCCTCTTGCAGACCCCTCACTGGGGATGTGCCCGCAACCAACGTACATGCCCCTGACCGGAATCGAACCTGGGACCCCTCAGTCCACAGATCGACGCTCCACCACTGAGCCAAACCGGTTTCGGCTTATCTGAAAACTTTTGAAAAGGTAGTATGCCAAGTTTTGGATGTTGTTCTAAGTTTCTTAGATACAGGGTTCAGGTAGACACACACCTGAGCACATCTTGTCCCTTGCTGCATCTGCCACTGTGAATCTCTAAACAAAGTGCTTTCAGTTCCAGTCACCCAGGATAGGTTAATTTTTTTTCTTACTACATGCATAGAGCTCTAGGTCTTGGGGAGGAACAAAGATAAATAAAATACATTCCTCCCCGATGAGCTCTTATACAGAGAACAAGACAGTCAGTCACCTATAATAATTACAATTCACTGAACAAAATCAAACAAGGTATGTCAGGTTTTATTTGATTTTTGTGACAGTTACTGAAAAATACTGAGCCCATCTGATCTTGGCCCTAAAAAAGCCAATCTTTTAAAGTTCACCGAGTAACCCCATATTTCAGCTGGAAAAACTCCGTTTCAGATAAAAAAATGATTTTGTCATTTATAAGTTTCAGATTGTTCAAAAGTTTATACTAACTATAAACCATGTTGCATATGATAGAATACTAAGGAGCAGTTAACAGAATTAGATCATTTGGTGACAAAAGATCTTCAAGATATAATCAAAAAGTAACTATGATACAGAAAGGTTGCATTCATATCTAAAAACAAATAAAAACACCAGCACAATACCTAGTTCTAAGATGTGGACACATACACATATATGTACAAAAAGGCAATACACACCAAAACTACTGACTGGTTTTCCTGGGGAAGAGACTGGGATGCAGATCAGGAAATGCACCTCAAAAACAACTTCAGTTTTATAGGTAATATTTATATTTTATACCAGGAATGTACTTGGTATTTCTTACATAAGAAAAGTACAGTTTCATGGTCAAGACAGGATCAGAGGCCATGGATGTTGACAACAGATTGGTCTTTTTTATTCTGTCTTTTTCCATGATTATATCTACTGCCTCGTCTTGATTTATAAGTAAAACCTAGACAACCTACAAAAATGTGTTTTGTAGTTTATCTAGGAATAATACAGAAAATATTGCTGTTATTTTTGGTGAAGAAAGTCAATTTTGTACAGTTTATTTCGACGTAAATAAAATGTGAATTTGTTTAAAAAAAAAAAGTACAAATTGCTTCATTTAATGTGCTTAACTTTTAGACTCTTAATTCTACTCCCTCCTTTTGACCTAATTAGCTGTGTAATCTGGGCAATAAAGGGCACAAGAGATCACCTGTTGGGGTCATGACAGCAAGCAGTGAATTCACAGGTTGCTAGGCACAGACTCTATGAAGTATACTTACAACACAACTGCTTATGAACTACTTCTTGTGATATTATAATTTGCTTGACAAAAAACATTTTGTAAAAGTTTTATCATAGCAAATTTTGATGACACTTCTAACTATACTATACTAGAATCAACAGTATTTGAGTGAACCTATGTTCCCATACTACTGAAATGAATGGGTTGAAGAGAAAAAATAAAAATACATCTTCAGCTAAGAAAGGTTAACTTTACTCTCCTCCCACTTTGCAATTCTTTACTCATCATTCAGGCTCATTGTTTCCCATTATTGGCCATGTGTAGTTCTTGTTTCATGAATTATCTGTTTTTGTACATTTGATTGGGGTACTGATATTTTGTTAGAGAAAATTTGGGGATGAACAAAATATTTTACTATAATAAATTAGTCAAATCTCTTAGTCCTATAGTTATGTTTCATGTTTTAAAAGTAATGAACATATCATATCTTATTGTACAGATGTAGATATGAACAAAAACCATCTCCATCTTTTTTTTATTTCTTGCTGTGGCCTTTGACCCAACCTCACTGTCCTTAAGCAGCATATCAAAGCTTAAGTCAATGATGATCTGTGTTCCTTAAAATGTAACCATTAATACTGTTATTAGTAATGGCCAGGAAGTCAAGCAAAATGACTATCAAACTGGTGACAGTAGCAACCACCAGTATAGCCCCTGGTGCTACTGCATTCTTTGTCCCTTTGTCTTTTTAAGCATTAGTACCTGAGTTACAGTAGCAGAGAAATTTGCACAAAACTGTTGGGCTGATCTGCCAGATTTTTTTATCTGATTTCAGGTTAGGGGAGGAAACAAAACTCACATATCAAACATGACAGAAGCATTCAAACATAGAAAGGTTGAAGCCCTCCACAATGTCAGATCTTGCTGCCCTGTAACAGTTCAGGACACGTTCTCTAGGTATTAGCTGGCTGTGGAATCTTGGGAAGTGAATTAACTTCTTGTCCGTTTCTTCAACTACAGAGTTTAAAAAAAAAAAAAAAAAAAAAAAAAAAGAGCCGAAACCGATTTGGCTCAGTGGATAGAGCATCAGCCTGCAGGCTGAAAGGTCCCAAGTTCGGTTCCAGTCAAGGGCAAGTACCTTGGTTGCGGTCACATCCCCAGTATGGGATGTGCAAGAGGCAGCTGATTGATGATTCTCTCTCATCGATGTTCTAACTCTCTATCCCTCTCTCTTCCTCTCTGTAAAAAATCAATAAAATATATTAAAAAAAAGAAAAGAAAATAAAAGAAACAATTTCCTTGGCTTTCTCCTGATGCATTCATTTCAACCAGGCTAGCTTGGACAAAGCATCTGGGCTGAACCACTTTATCTGAGAAAAATAACCATTTTTATCCATCTTTTCCCTCAACTAAACATTCATAAATCACTTAAAAGCAAATAAGTGCTACCCCTGGCAAGGCCTAACACTGAAAAAAATGTTCTAGTTTATATAATTGAAAGGTCATAAAATTATGAACAGGGAATTTCCCTGGTACAACATGGAAATTGTGATAGTAGAGGCTAATTTTCTTATGCACTTGAATTTTATTTTGTTGATGGAAAAAATGAAATGCTTTGAGGAATAATGTTGTTTTAGAATTTGTGAATGTCAATTTAATAGGCAATCCCTAAAATCGGTCAGTTAGACCTCAAGGCTGAGCTTCTATGATATATGCATTCAAAATATTGCCAGCTTGATGTTCCCAGATTAAAGAGCAGCACATAACTCAAAGTGTCTATATATAATGTGTGCATCAGTGGCCATGGCCCAGAACTTCGAAAAAAGAAACTGGGGAACTCTTGGCCAAACCTAAGAGCCTACCATCATCACTGGAAGTCACTGCTAGAAGCTGAAGATCTGTCAACTTGTTATCTCTTTCTGTACTCCTATACAACAGGAAATATTCAGAGAAGACTGGAGAGTGACAAATCTGTGAGTTGCTCCTCTGTGAGACAGACAGAAAGAATCTCTATTATAGGAAAGATTACCACATTTCTCTTAAACTCTCCCCACCGACAAAGATCTCCTCCAACTAAATAGAAATTATTTAGATTAGTTAAGAATATTTGAATCCAGTGACTATTTTTATGATACTGATGACCATTTCTTAAGATGTAAATAATCAATAAAGGTTCTCTAAGAGACTCCTTTATGTTTATGCCAATGGTTCTTTGTTGGGAAGAGGGGACAATTTTGCCCATAAGGGGACATCTGATAATATCCTGAGACATTTTTGACTACCACATTGGGAAGGAGGGTAGTAGCTACTAATATCTAGTGGTTATAGACCAGGAATGATGCTGAACATCCTACAGGACAGCCTCTCACAGCAAATAATTATTGGTCCCAGATGTCAATAGTGTCAAGATTGAGAAACTTTTACAACACCCAATGCCTACAATGTATTTTCTAAATCCAAGCCAGTGACAAAAAATAAAATTTATAAAGTCATTATAAAATGAACTCTCTGCCTAAGACATTCCCACAGAAGAACAGGCTTCAAGTTACAGTAGAAAAATCTAAAGTTTAAGACTCAGAAAGTCAATCTACTCCCACAAGACTGTTCTACAGATAAAAATAAAAATGCCAAGTACTCTGAAAAGCCATTCCTGTTACACATGAAAACAGTCACCTTTCTCAGTTATAAGCTTTTAGCTGCACGCAGTATTTTCTTGTGAAAGGATGAGAAGACCTAGAGAAAGGGAGCAAGAAAGATCAAGTCCCACATTACCAACTGCAACCTTGTTCTATAATATTCCTTGTCAATTCAGTGTCATGCTTTAATTTTGTCCTTCAAGAAAACTTATCTAAGAATCAGTCAAAAAAACAGAGTTCATCCAAAGACTATTTTGTTGTAAAACTACTGATCAGCATATCAAAAAGACGTAAAACCTCAAACACTATGAGTATGCATATAAATGCCAAAAAGTGTTTATCTTTTCAGTTTCTAGACAGATTAAACACTGTTCATCTCTCATCTTTCCCCTACAAAAACACAACTAATAAGATAGAAAAATATTCACACAACTTACAATTTTGTCTGATCCATAGATCTTCTCCAACTGTTCAGCAACTTCCCTTGTTCCATCTGGGCTCCCATCATCTATGATTATAATTTCATAGTTGATTCCACTAAAATAAGAAAATTAAATTTGTATTGTTTGAATACAGTATTATAATAAAAATAATTTTAAAATTACTAATTCTTAACCATTAGGGGAAACTTATTGCCATAGTAATCACTAAGGAAAACTTCAAATATCAAATGAAATGAAAAATACTCGTACTTCACTTCCAAAGTCAACATGTTGCTGAAGAATATTATTATAAAATCCTAAGATGTTAAACAGTTCTCTCACAGAAAACATTAAAAAAGCCAGTGAGCCTGGCAAGTGTGGGTCAATGGCTGAGTGTTGACCATGCACCAAGATGTCATGGGCTTGATTTCTGGTAGGGCACATGCCCAGGTTTCAGGCTCAATCCCCAGTGGGGAATGTGTGGGAGGCAGCCTACTGATATGTCTCTTTTATTGATGTTTCTAATCTTTCTACAAATAAAACAAAAACAAAACATATATTTTTAAAAACCAGTGATTTATATGTATATAATATATATGATATTATAGTATATCATATGAAGTTTTATTTACTTTGGCAATAGAATTGCAGGACCTTAATATCAAATAGTTTATTAACTATTTCAAAAGTATATTTAATAGATAGCTAAAATTAATTGCATAGCTCTGGGTGATTATTTAAAACTTAATCCCAAACGATTTTAAGAACATATCAGGAATAAATCCAACTTAATTTCACCCTTTAAAAAAACCTACTTCAGAATGGCAACATCATTTTTTACACCTCTATTTCAATAGTTGTACACATTATCCTACACTAGCAAATAAAAAGAAATAGCACAGAATAACAAAATATTTCAATATCCACCTTGGCCAACATGTTCAGTGGTTAGAGTGTTGGCCCACATAAAAATAAAAGTCTCATGTTTGATCCCTACCCCAGTCGGGGTGCTTGTAGGAGGCAACCAGTCAGTGTGTCTCTCCACACTGATGTCTCTCTCTCTCTCTCACCTCCCTCCTTCCTTTCCAACTCTCTCTGAAAAGCAATGGGGAAAAAATCTCCTCAGGTGAGGATTAACAAAAAGACTTTTTTTCAATACCCTTCAAAACTAACATCTTTCTGCTGCTCTCCACTGTCTTTATGGGATAGTTTCTATTCTGAAAACAAGCCAGCATAATATTTGGATGTACATGAAATCACTACCCCCTTTAAAAATCATTCTTTTTGTTAACTGTATTGGGAACTTAAGGGGAAAGAAAATGAGGCAATGCTAAACTTTCACACACAACATTCTGTTTCTTCTTGGTCCTACTTCAGATAATATGCAAGGAAGTCAACCAAAAAACACATTCCACTATTTAAAGCTTAAGAAATTCAGGCCCAGCAAACTTCCAGAAAGAAAACTCAGCCTTATAAATTCTTCAGGAGTAAAAAGTATCACTTCAGCTTCCAATGTGTTAAAACTTGGCCATGTGCTTACAAGCCCAAACAAGTAAAATGTTGATTCCAGCTGATGGGCTGAAAGATATACACTTCAAAGCAAATTCTCTTCTAGCCCACTTCAAAGCACCCACACCACCTGAGGGTGAGGGAGCTGAAAGGAATCAAGCTGAGCAAATATTAGTTAATATGACAGAATCGACAAGTTTCCTTCATTAAACTTCATTTTTAAAAAATGTTTTTATTGATTTGGCTGCCCTTTACACACTCCTACCAGGGGTGAGTGTCACCCACATTGATGTTTCAATGAAACCTAGGCATGTGCCCCGACTAGGAATCAAACCGAGGACCTTCTGGTACATGGGATCATGCTCAAACAACTGAACCACACTGGCCAGGGCTAAGTTTCATTTTGATTTTTAAAAAACCCATTCCGAGACAATTAAAATATAAACTGCACTACATAAAATATTTAAAAATAAGGCAAAATTATTGTATAATTAGAAGTCAAACAGGAACAAGATAATTCTCTAAATTGAAAAGCTTGTAGAAATCAAAATAAAAATAAAATTTAAAAAGAGGAAAAAGATGAATAAAAAATTTAAAGAACTATGTATGTGAAGAGTTATTTCATTCAAAGAAAAATAATTAAGATAGCAATGTTTATGATTATTTAACTGCTATGCTGTATACTTGAAACTAATACAAAATATTAAATGTAAACTGTAATTAAAAATAAAATTTTAAAAATAATAATATAGTGCAGCTGAAAAAAAGCACACACCCAGCAATGTTTTTCACCAAATATCATTTCCAATGAAGTAATAATACTCAGGTTGACTGGCTGTGGGAGAACAGGCACTCTCTGAAGAATGCTGGAGAGTCCTAAGCCAGTACAATCTCTTTTGACAGTAATTTGTCAATAACTATCCATTTTAAGCACATCTCTACCGATCCAGCAATATCACCGCAAAGACTTCATCCTGATGTACCAGCAAAAGTATGAGTGTTCGTTTATGCGTCATTTTTCAAAATGCTGGAAAATGTGACATGAACAAAGTCCCCATTCTCATTTGTAAATGTAAAGGAAATGTAATAAACACATATATTTATTATATCCATGTTCGTTGACATAACCCGCTTCAATAAAATATATAACACAGCCACATGGAATATTATTTCATTTTCAAAACAATTTGCTATGTCTGTATGTGCTGATATGAGAAAGATCTTCAAAGATTTCTGCAACATGGTACCAAAATGTGTAACATAAATGACGCTACTCTGTCATGATACCAGGAATTTCCAACCTTTAAGAAAATGTGTATAAACGCTTCCGAGCCCCCGGTTCTACCGACCACAGCAAACATCCAGAGTGGCCAGCCGAGCTGCCGCCCTCCTGCGCTCCCCGGAAAGGTGGTGCAGCCCCGCGGCCGCTCCCGACCCACACACACACCTCGCGCTTACGTAAGCACCGGGCCCGGGGGCGAGCCAGAGTGCCCGAGGAGACTCCGGTCCCGCCGCAGGGCCTGGCCACCCAGGCTCCGGGTCCCAGGGCGAGGCGTGAGGCCAGGCTGACAGCCTCGCGCCCACCGAGAGCGGCCAGCCCTGGAGAGAGAGAGGGACTGGGGGGCGGGGCGGGACCGGGGAGCGGACAGTCCACAGCAGAGGTAAAGGAGTGTCTGTCTCACAAGGGCAGGAAGGAGAACCGGGGCAGGGACGGAACCCCAGCGGGATCCACCTCTGCATCCCTCGAAGGGTGGCCTCCTCCCGGAGACTTCCCGCATCAGCCGGAGAGAGCAGGGCCGCCCGCGCGGCCAACTGCCGGCCACCAGCCCGGGAAGCCAGCTCATCCCCTCCGGGCGAGGGCCGCGCACGCTACCTCTCCGAGAAGCTCTTCACCAGCAGCCACACGATGAGCGGCAGGTTCTCGCGCTCGTTGTAGGTGGGCAACAGCACCGAATACTTGTCCGGTCCCGGGAAGCGCCCCTCCGGCTCCCGACGAGACCTCGGAGGAGTACGATTTGCTGTCTTGGAGGCCATGGCGGAACTCCGCGGGACGCCGGAAGCGGAATGACGTCAATGCGGCGCGGGCACGGCCCAGTCGGACCGCGCCAAATGCGGGAAGAGACGGCGGAGTCCGGGGAGGGGGCTGTGTGGTTGAGTACTAATTCTCCTAAAGAGTCAGAGCTGATGAATCTTTAAAACTGAATCTGAATGTTGTTTTAGGAAATAAATATTCATTTATCACCTTTTCCAAAGTTCCGTAAAGTTTTTTAGTTTATTCCAGTCTCCAGGAGACGACAAGCCGGAAACGGAAATGCCTTCAAGACAACTTCCGGAAGCGGCTGCCATGGCTTCCCGAGAGGAGGTTCTTGCCTTGCAGGCTGAAGTTGCCCAGCGCGAGGAGGAACTGAGTTCCCTGAAGCAGAGACTGGCGGCGGCTCTTCTGGCGGAGGACGATCCCGCGCCGCAGGCTCCGGTGTCGCCCCTGCCGCCGAAGGCCGCGCTGTCCCGCGATGAGATTCTGCGCTACAGCCGGCAGCTCGTGCTGCCCGAGCTCGGGGTGCACGGGCAGCTGCGGCTGGCCACCGCGTCCGTGCTAGTCGTGGGCTGCGGTGGGCTCGGCTGCCCGCTGGCGCAGTACCTGGCAGCGGCCGGCGTGGGCCGCCTGGGCCTTGTGGACTACGACGTGGTGGAAGTGAGCAACCTGCCCCGCCAAGTGCTGCACGGCGAGGCCCTGGCCGGCCAGGCCAAGGTCTTTTCCGCTGCAGCCTCGCTGCGCCGGCTCAATTCAGCCGTGGAGTGCGTGCCTTATGCCCAGGCTCTTACTCCAGCCACGGCCTTAGACCTAGTCCGCCGTTATGACGTGGTCGCTGACTGCTCCGACAACGTGCCCACCCGCTACCTTGTGAGCGACGCGTGTGTGCTGGCCGGCAGGCCTCTCGTGTCCGCCAGCGCCCTGCGCCTTGAGGGCCAACTCACAGTCTACCACTACGACGGCGGGCCTTGCTATCGCTGCCTGTTCCCCCAGCCACCTCCAGCGGAGACGGTCACCAACTGCGCGGATGGCGGGGTGCTCGGTGTTGTCACGGGCGTCCTGGGCTGCCTGCAGGCGCTGGAGGTGTTGAAGATCGCCGCAGGGATGGGCCCCTCGTACAGTGGCAGCCTGTTGCTCTTTGACGCCCTCGGAGGACATTTCCGCTGCATTCAGCTGCGGGGCCGCAGGCCGGATTGTGCAGCTTGTGGAGAACGGCCCACGGTGACCGACCTGCAGGACTATGAAGCCTTCTGTGGCTCCTCAGCCACGGATAAGTGCCGCTCCCTTCAGCTGCTGAGCCCCGAAGAGCGAGTCTCTGTCGCTGACTATAAGCGACTTCTGGATTCTGGGTCGCCCCACCTACTGCTGGACGTCAGGCCTCAAGTGGAAGTGGACATCTGTCGTTTGCCTCATGCTCTACACATCCCTTTGAAACATTTGGAAAGGGGGGATGGGGAGAGCCTGAAACTCTTAGGAGAAGCAATCCATAAAGGGAAGCAAGGCACACAGGAAGGAGCAGCCCTCCCGGTCTATGTGATTTGCAAACTGGGCAATGACTCCCAGAAAGCCGTGAAGATCCTGCAGTCCTTGACAGCAATCCCAGAGTTAGACTCTCTCACAGTTCAGGATGTTGTGGGGGGGCTCATGGCCTGGGCTGCCAAAATCGATGAAACGTTTCCTCAGTACTGAGGTGGCTGCTATCCATAGTCTGACCTGAGGAAAATGTGGATTGCCATGTTAACCTTAAAGATACATTTACTTCCATATTTCTCAGTAATGTACAAAGACTGGATTCTGCATCTGTGAATACATAGCTTTCTTTTTATAAGGGGCTTTTTTAATGGTAATTTATTGGTTATTACGTTGTTGAGGGTCTATAAAATTGTTTCTGATAACTGTCGTGTGTTTTCAGTACTTGGAGGGTGTCTTGAACATGTGAGATATATTGTAAGTGACAGGATTTCATGTTTTAATTTGCAGATCATTTGCCTGTCTTGCTTTTTTCCCACCTCCCCCAATCAAAAGACTCTAAATGGGTCTTTTTTAGGCCTGGAATTAAGTTGTTGTAAACTTAGTCTTACCGAATTGATTGCAGATGATATACTTAAGATGAGTTTATTGTTTACTAAAGGCATTCTTTGGGTCTTATTTCTACTTAAAATGATAGAATATATCCTACAGAACTAAGGGTTAAAGTGAAAATTGTCTTAATTATCTGGAAAGTGATCATTAAATATTTTGAATTCATATAAAAGTGAAGTATTTACAGGTTAGCAAGAAAAAAGGAAACTACCTTCATAGTATGTCAGTTTCTCTTACAAGTTGCTGATTTTTAAAGTTAGCTTCAGGGTCCACCCTATGTTGTACACATAACATTTTCTAAACTGTATACTATTGTTTGGCTTGCTTTGGATTCTTCAAGTCCAAAATCCAAACTTCTGCCCTTTCCCATCCAGTCTGTTATTTTTATTGTTGGCTTCCCTGTATGGTCAGGACCCCAAATACAATACTGAATTAAGGTGGAATAGTGAACATTCTTATATCAGGCTCAGATGAAAAACTGATGATTTGATCAGTATTACTTATTATTGCTTTACTATAAATAACCTACATCAAATTAATGACATTTTTTCTGTTTATAGTTTGCTAAGAGTTTTGCCTGAATTTTATCAGATGCATTTATTAAGATTATGTGTTTCTTTCTTCTCCTATTCATATAGTGAATTACATTGATACTTTTATTGTAGAAAAGAATTATAAAAAATACACCCTTCCAGAAGTTTCCAACAGTATTGTCAACCACCTTCACATGCTTGCAACAGATCCCAGAATCTTCCCACTCCTGCATGACTAAAACTTTGCACCCACCAAAGAACTCCTCCCTTTCCCCTTTAACTTGCCTTTTCTATCTTGATTTAGTTTGTTTTATTCCAGCATTTTATAGTAGTACAAAATGTAGGTGGTTCTGATTTTTAAACATTTCCATGAAATGGCAGGTACTCTTCCCAATTTCCAATATCTGCAACAAAACTGAAAGGGAACATTTGGTATGTGAATATATATTAGTGACAAATTGAAGAAGAAATGCCTTGTCAAAGGGGGCCCCTACTCGCCAACTGACTCTGGCATATAAACCTACCTGTAATTTATAGTCATGAATGTGAAATCTTTGTATCTCTGGCTACAAATGTTTTAGAAAATGAAAAAGCATTGCGGACAGACAAAACCCTGTGTGTGTCAGATTTCCTTACCAGTTTGCAACCTCTGATAGGGACTCTTGTCCTATATAATGAAAGCCTAGGTGGCGTCATGCCCTCGAGCAACACCCTTGTGCAATATTGTCACGAGTTGCCCACACACACATGCAAAGCAGAGGCAGGGCCTGCTCTGCATGGTGAGGCCTGGAAGTCCTGCAGCTCTGTGTGGCACTGAGGAGCCGGGTCCCAGCAGAGGAGGTGGGTTGCGGCAGGGGAGGGCAGTTGTGCGTGATGAAGCTGGCAGGGGAGCAGTTAGGCCTCGATCAGGCCAGCAGGGAAGCCATTAGGGGGCGATCAGGCTGGCAGGCAGAAGCAGTTAAGGGCAATCAGGCAGGCAAGCAGTTAGGAGCCAGCAGTCCCGGATTGTGAGAGGGATGTCTGACTGCTAGTTTAACCCCCGAGGGGTCCCAGATTGGAAAGGATGTAGGCTGGATTAAGGGACACCCCCTCTGTGCATGAATTTCATGCACTGGGCCTCTGGTTTTATTATAAAAGGATGGCATTTAAAAGTCAAATTAAAAATGAGGATACTCATCACTTTTTAACTGAAGCTTATTTTTTGAATATGGGTGTTTAAAGTATAATAGGCCATTCTATGTTATAAAGATGGAGCAGGTTTCTTATAACTGCTTCTCCCAAGGAGTTGGGGAAATAAATGACTGAGATCTGGAGAGAACAAAGATCTCTGGGCCTATTGTCGTATCTTCTTATTCCCAGGACCAAAGCTGGTTCTGATACATATCAGGAAACAATCAACTGAATAGAGATAGAAAGTAATGTCTTAAAGTTAGGCAGATTTGGTAGTTCCTGCAAACCTGATTGTCATTGGAGACAGACCTGTACTTCTAGGAGCCGCGTCCAAAACCATGCACAGAACTGGCCTGAGACACTTGTGCTCTGCTGTCCTCTAAAATAAAGAGGAAACTTCCAGCCGAGCATCACTGATCTCACTTGACCTGGCCCCACTGCTCTCCTACACCATCCAGCCCAGAGGGCAGGAAGCAGGGTGGCTTTATACTGCACTAGAGGTCCAGTGCACGAAATTTGTGCACTGGGGTTGAGGGATCCCTCAGCCTGGCCTGCACCGTCTCTCAGACCAGGATCCCTGCAGGAATAGGGCCTAAGCCAGAGGTTGACATCCCTCTCACAGTCCAGGAACCCTTACTCCTTATTGCCTGCCTATTCGCTGCTCACCAGTCGTGAGCCTGGCTTCTGGCTGAGTGGCACTCCCCCTGCGGGAGCGCACTGACCAACAGGGGGCAGCTCCTGCATTGAAAGTATGCCCCCTGGTGGTCAATGTGCATCATAGTAACCGGTCATTCCGCTGTAATGGTTTCTTAGGCTTTTATTATATAGATTATATAGACTGGAGGCCTGGTGCACAAAATTCGTGCACTGGGGGCAGGTGTCCCTCAGCCCAGCCTGCACCCTCTCCAGTCTGGAACCCCTCGCTGGGATCGGGCCTAAACGGGCAGTCAGACATCCCTCTCACAATCCAGGACTGCTGGCTCCAGACCACTCACCTGCCTGCTTGCCTTATTGCCCCTAACCACTTCTGCCTGCCAGCCTGATCAATTCCTAACTACTTCTCTGCCAACCTGATCAATGCCAAACTGCTCCCTGCCAGCCTGATCGCTCCTAACAGCCCTCCTAGGCCGGCCTGGTCACCTTTAACTGCCCTCTCCTGCCAGCCTGGTGGCCCCAACTGTCCTCCCCTGTTGGCCTGGTCACCCCTAACTGCCATCCCCTGCAGGCCTGGCTCCCCAAAACTGCCCTTCTTAGCAGGTCTGGGCCCCCCAATTGCCCTCCCCTGCAGGCATGATTGCCCCCAATTGTCCTCCCCTGCAGGCCTGGTCACCCCTAACTGCCCTCCCCTGCAGGTCTGGTAGCGCCCAACTGCCCTTCCCTGTAGGCCTGGTCCCTCTCAGCTTTCTTCCCCTGCAGGCCTGGGTCCCTCCCCAACTGTCCTCCCCTGCAGGCCTGGTCCCCCCAATGCTCTCCCTTGCAGGTCTGGTAGCCCCCAACTGCCCTCCCCTTCAGGTGTGGTTGCCCCAAACTGCCTTGCCCTGCAAGCCTGGTTACCCCCCCCCCCAACTGCCCTCCCAGGCAGGTTGGGTTGCCCCCAACTGCTCTACCCTGCAGGCCTGGTTGCCCCCAAGTGCCCTCCCCTGCAGGTTTGGTATCCCCCAACTGCCTCCCTTGCAGGCCTGGTCCCTCCCAGCTTTCCTCCCCTGCAGACCTAATCTTCCCTCCACCCCTAACTGCCCTCCCCTGCAGGCCTGGGTCCCTCCCAACTGCCCTCCCCTGATCTTGTGGTGGCCATCTTTGTGTCTACATGGGGGCAGCCATCTTTGATCACATCAGCACAGCCATCTTGTGTGGAGTGATGGTCAATTTGTATATTACCATTTTATTAGATAGAATTGCTATTTTCTGAGTCTTATGAGGTTGTGTCTGATAGGTAGCGCCCAATCACATGCCTAAATACTAGCAGCAAGAATTCTGGGAATTTGAATTCTGTTGTCTACAACAGGGAGGCAGAACTCATAATCTGGGATTTTTTTTAAATTAGTGAAAGATTTTTCAAAAGATGGGCTGTTAGGAGCACAAAAATATCCACTTATGGGACCCAGCTCTTTTTATTCTTTGAAATCCTGTTTTCTCTGTGGATTGTGGCTAAGTTTTTACATTTGAATGGGATTTGAATGATAATTTAAAAAAATATATTTTACTGATTTTGTACAGAGAGGAAGGGAGAGAGTTAGAGAGAAACATCGATGAGAGAGAGTCATCAATCAGTTGCCTCTTGCACACCCCCTACCGGGGATGTGCCCATAACCAAGGTACATGCCCTTGACTGGAATCAAACTCAGGACCCTTCAGTCTCCAAGCCGATGCTCTATCCATTGAGCCAAACCGGTTTTGGCTGAATGATAATTTTTTTTCCCCTTTTCATTTAATAAACATCAAGTGCCTTAAGTGTACCAGTCACCATTCTAGTTCTAGGATAAAGATGAACAAGAGTTTTCCCGTCGCCATGAAGTTTACATTTAAACGGGGGAGACAAATCAAGTAAGTTATCTGTAAGGGCCATAAAATAAATCAAAATGTGATGTATCGAGTAGAGAAGGAGAAGCTATTTTGGATAGATAAATTAGGGCTGATGTTAAACCCAAAACCTGAGTGGTGAGGAACCAGTTCGATCTGGGAGAACATTCCTTACTGGGAGTGGAAAGAGCCTCAGGCAAATAAACTTAGAATGAGCAAGAAACTGAAGAGGCAAATTGGATTGTGAACAATTGGGGAAAGTAAAGATGAGGTTGGAGATACAGAATATATCATGTAGGTTGTAGACCATAATAGGAATTTGGTGTTTATTCCAAGTAAAATAACAGCTAACATTTACTGAGCACTTACTATGTGATTTGGAATTTGAATCCAGATGGTCTGGTTGAAGAGTCCGAAGGTGCCCTAAGCATTATCCTGACTATCCTGACTCTCACGGAAAGCTTATTATTTTATATGTTTTCATTGTTGATCATCCAGAGTGGAAAGAGCTTGTATCGATATTTCAATCTGATAGAAATGTACTCTGATGCATTTGGTTTGCTGACTTTTCTCTAGGGGAGGAGTCCCAGAGTAAAATCCCTGGGAGCCCTCTAACACCCATGTGTCACAGAGGTAACGTCCATTTACCCATGCGTCACTTTGGTCAAGGAAAGCGAGAAAGTCTCAACATGAAGTGTCACAGCTGGTAG